ATGTTAATATTAAGTAGTTTTAATTTTCTCTCGATCATAATTATAGAGATCAAATTGTATTTTTCTCTATTAAATTTAATGTTAATCACTACTATATCAATTAATGATTGAATATTAATCTTTAAAACATAAAATTTTATTACTATATTTTTTAATAGAAGTTTGTATTCCCTCTATCTTTAATTATTATATGATTTTTTTGTCCTCTCAAAATTTAAGATACATCAATGATTTCTTTATAAAAATATCTCTATTTAATGTTTAAAAAAAATCCATTTTTCTCACATGATATCAAAAATTATATTGATAAATACAAATAATAAAATAGTATTTTGATCAATTTTTTACTATAACTATTTTTTTAAAATATCCGTGATTTTTGTTAGAGGATCTTATAATAAAAAATAAAGGAGTTCAAGTTTGAGTTCCACACATTAGATTGTGTTAATTAAAATTTGTTTTTATAAAATAATGAAAATTTTCTTATAGTTTACTAGGACACTTCGTAAAAATGTATTTATGATTTTAAGTTTCAGAGATACATCTTCGATTGCATTAAATTTTAAGATATTTTAAACCAAACCTTAAATCAGTGAAAAGAATTTATTGGAGATACATCTACGTATATATTACGATCTCCGAATACATCAAACTTCAAGATATTTTTGAACCAGGCCTTAAATCAGTGGAAAGAATTTACCAGAGATACATCTACATATACATTACGAGATGCATATCCGAACGCACCCCAATTAAATTTTGGACCAGGCCTCAATTTCATATAAAAATATTTCAGAGATACATCTCCGAAAAGTTTACGTAGATGCATCTCCGGACGCTCTTCGTTCAAATACGCATCAGAGCCTCTTCCCTTCCTCACTTACTCAAACTCTTTCAAAATCCATTTTTTCAAACACTCCCCAACCCCGTTATCTCAAACTCACTCATAACACATTCAAGCAACATCAAACAGCATCGATCTTTATCAAACATCTGACTTCAAACAACATTGAGCAACAACAAACAATTTCTAGACTATAATTGTAAATTTTTTGTAAACATTATTGGGTTTATGTAAAATTGTGTAGAAATTGATTTTTAGGTTATAAAATCGAAAGATTTTAAGTGTTTGATAGTTTAGACCTAATGAGAAACAAGTTAGATAGGTAGTTTTTACGAACAACGGATTATTTTTTAAGTTTTATGGGTCTGTGTTCCGCCATTGATGGTGGTTAAAGTTGCATGAATTTTCGAAGATGTATTCGGGATTTTTCAACGTTTACCCAGAAACCTGAGATGCATCTCCGTAAGTAGTTTTTGTAAAGAATTTATTGTGTAATGTTTGTCTTATCTATTTATAGGAACTATGATTGATAAACAATCCAGATCGAGACATTGTAGGTTTGCACAACATGCATCCGTTTAAAGGAAAAAGAGACAATCACCACAGGCTCCTTCTACCTCTAGATCGGTTGATGCAGAGGCGTCGGGTTTCAGGGCTCATGTATCTCCGTCTACTTCTTCGTCTTCCTATAACAGGCGAATGTCTCCTCCTCATGCATCTCCGCCTATATCTTTATGTAGATGCCTGAGTTCACCTATTTAGGCTTTTGAGTTAGTAGAGGTGCCTGAATCACCTGAGATACCTCAAGCACTAGAGACACCTGAGGCACCCCAGGCCTAGGTGACAAAGGTAAAACTTGAGGCATCCTAGGCACATGGGTCAACAGAGGGGGGAACTTGAGTTATCTCAAGCCTATGCAGCAGAGGCACATTAGTGTTTTGGAGGACGCTTTTCAGACTTATCATTGATGCCATTTACTCTGACCATGTCGCAAGACATATCTGGGACTGAGAGGTAAAATTTAGTTAGAATTATTCATTTGAAGTTTTGTTTGTTGGAAACATTCTTATTAAACCATGTATGTCGGAACGTGGTCCGCTAAAATTCATTAACCATGCGCGGAAAATTTTCCGCCTAGAAGAGCCTAATGAGTTGTGGTTTCACAAAGTCTTGCAGTTATCAAGGATGTGAGACTTGTACAAGACCGATTATGTTACAGTTAACCATGGTATGCTTAATACGTTTGTAGAGAGATGGCACGCGAAGACATCATCATTTCATCTACCATATGGTGAGACGTCTATCACATTGGACGATGTCGCGTGTCTGCTGCATCTTCTGATTAGGGAGACACTTCTAGATCATGGAAGGGGTAACAAAGACGAGGCACTGGTGTTGATGGTAGACTATCTAGGAGTTGACCTAGAGGACGTCATGAATGAGCTTGACTTCATCCGTGGGGCTCATGTTAGGTTTAGCTTTTTGCATAAGGCGTTTACAGGTGAGATATCAAGATCACGACAAGTTGTTGGAGATAACGAGTAGGTACGACATAATATATGGTATGTTATGAGAGCATACATGTTGTATTTGATTGGCACTGCCATTTTTTGTAGACAATAGTGTCACTTATGTGGATTTCATCTACCTGCGGTACTTCGAGGACTTTGAGTGGATCCATGAGTACAATTGAGGGAACGCTTGTTTGGTCTACTTGTACTCTAAGTTATCTGAAGGTTTTTTATGGAAAACGAGGCACGTGACAAGCAATATCACACTTTTGACGGTAATATTTCTTGGCCTTTTAGTACTTGTGTGTTTTTTTAATCATTACATTATTGCAATGTCGTTACTAATTAATGGTTCATGTTTTCCAACACTTTTCAGGCTTAAATCCTCCAGAACTTCCCATGAATCTCTGATTGGTCATGTCTACCGACTTATACTGAGAATATTCCGTGTGTTTCTGCATTCTCCCTGCTCAGAAGGAACCAGACGACTGGCCATTCAGAGTGTATATTGATCGCTTCGTAGCAGAGGATATACACGTACACTCTTTGTCGATCACTGTGAGATGATTCTCTTTGATGACATAGTCTTATACTCGAGATGGTTGGCTTGCGGGTCACGTTTGATGTCTCTTTATCTGTTTGAGCGCGTCATGCATTAATTTGGCTACATGTAGTATATTCCCAGAGATCCTTTTGTGTCTGCTTCTCCCAGTGTGAAACGTAGAAATATGGATGCTGTGTTTGATTATTATGTTAATCATCTGGTACCATATGATGCATGGAGTACCATAACTAAGAACAAATAGAGTCACGTAGACGGTTATATCTGGTGGTTCTTACAGGTGTCACATCCTTATATGGTACAGGATGCTCTAGGAGATCCACATATGCCAACTCATCAAGAGATACTAGAGGAGGATTAGGCTAGGACAGATCATGTTGTTAATGTCTTGTCTAGGTCGGCATATCATGCATATTAGACAGACAAATATTGACGGAGGACTCTTTCTGGATGGCTCTGAAGCGAGGGGAGTTGTAGATGTCATGATAATGGAGGCTCTGCAGTACATGAGACAGCGTAGGAACATAGGGGCACGAGACCGAAGCCGACTCTGAATACATCATATGCAGTAGATTATAGTACTTATAGTTGTACTCTTGATATATATTTTTGTTGTATTTTATTTATAGACTCCTTTGTAACTTTTTGAATTAAATTTATGCAATCTTGACTTATAAGTTTATATATATAATTTTCTTCGTAGCCTTAATATTGTCGAATCATAGTATCCATTTTAACAATTTGATATGAGAATCACTTAAAAATAATCAGAATTTACTGTTTGCACTAAAGACGGAGATACATCTCCGAATACTTTACATAAATATATCTCTGAAACAAACTTATGTTTGACAAAAGAAAGAAGCTTCTGGAGAGTCATCTCCGAAACAAACTTACGTTTAACAAAAAAATGTGTCCGGAGATACATCTCTGAAAACTGATGGTCATTTTGAGAATTACATAGGGCATTTTACAAGTCGGGTATATATGGTGGCTTAAGAAATTCCTAAAATAAAATGGTAGTATTTCCTACATTATACTTTTTCCTAAACGTGCACTAGGAACACTAAAATAACCCACAATCATATAGCAAAAAATGCACTACAAACTCTTAAATAACCCACATTCATCTAGAAAGTAATTGAACAATGTATATGAAGCTTAAGATTAATTTGAAGGCAAAATCTTTCAATCTTAGGTTCAAATAAAATTCATTTAGAAAGAAAAAATAATTCTCCATAAACTCTCAAACATATCATCAATTGTGTGTATAGTTTTTTCTTTTATATCTAATAAAAATGAGGCTAAACATACAGTTCAAAAATTGTCTTGCCACAAACCCAACATTATAGTTTTGTTTAGATGTTTTCTAAAGGAGGTTTGCATTTTCATTACCTATACTCTATTCAACTTTGTTTGGGTGTACAGTATAGACTGAGATTTGAAGAAATAACTGTAGTGAGTGCAAGGAACACTCTCTAACATGCATTCTCTTATCGGATGAAATCTATATGGGTCTCGCAGGCCATGTTAAGTGCTAGGACTCATAGATTTCAACCAATAAGAAAGTGTTATACCGAGTGTTGGAAAGAAAGTATCCTTCTCAATAGATTCAATTTCGAGAAGGAGGCTTTGGCAAAAGATAAGTAACTGACAAAAGCTTTATCAAAAACACAAGCTCTGAACTCAATCATCAACAGCTTTAGTAGTATTTTAAACCCAGAAATCAGTATATTCTCCTATGCAACCATGTGCTTACTAAGTCAATCATTGTTGCCGATGACACACCAGGAGAAGCATATTAGAAAACGCTGACACAGACCCATTACTTAAATGAACTATTTAATGACTCTAAAAAAGGTAACTTAACATTGCATGAACCAGCAATCTTTTTCAGAGTTTGTGGAGTTTGCAGTGGTAAACATAAATTATGGACACAATGGAACAGTAATTCCAGATGATAAGAATGCGTGCAACATAATATTTTGCATGTTTTTAACTCCCTATGATGTAAAAGTGTCAAACTCAAAAAATACCACAAATCTATCTATTCCAAAATGCAGTCTGCATAGGTTCAATAGTCTCACCCAAACAAGTCATCGTCATCATCATCATCCTCATCAGCATTGCTTGGATTACTGTCAGATTTTCCACTTAAATTATTCTCTTTTCCATTCTCCTTAGCTGCTTGAGCTTGTTCACCGCTACTGACAGGTGGGTATGCCCATGCTGATCCAACTTTGACGGATAATGATTCTCCATAAAGGTCATCATAAATCCCAGTTTTAACTGGGGTTTTGATCTTTTTTAGGACTTCTTGTAGTTTATCAGTCACGCCTTTTTGGGATGAATCTGCCTCCTTAACAGAGGACTGCTCTTTCCCCTTCGGAATTACAGTTATCTGTACAAGAGATTCATATTTACCAACAAGACTTCCTTCTTTAACACCAACTGGACCAGGTTCTGTTTCTACATCTACACCATCTGAAATTCCAACAACCTGAACTAATTCTCCCCCAACTTGATCCCTGAAGGAAACTCTTGTCTTCTTAATTCTCTTAGCAGCTCTTTCTGATTGCCTATCCTTGTTTTGGCCACTTGCTGAACCGCCAAGCTCATTGGATTTGGACACTAGATCAGACTTGTTGATGCCATAACGATTCAGCAGCGTATTATAAGTAACAACAGCTTCTTCATCAGACGGATCAGGAGGTGGTGGGAAATTAATCTCCGTGGGTGGTGGAGGACGAGGAAAAAGAGCTGCATCATTCTTTCTTAATACGTATATTCTCGTGGATGCAGCAAACCGCAGTGATTGTCCCACTTCAAACTCAATTGGCGAGTCCTTGGTCAATCGCTCATTTGCAACAAAGGTACCATGTGCAGATCCCAAATCAATTACATATACACTGAAATAAAGTAAAAATTTGTTCAAGCCAATAAATCCACAATTTGCTAGGGAATCCTCATTCCTAAATTATATAAAACATATTTTAGTTCAATATCCAAAAAACACTGAAGTGGTTCCAAACACAGCGATAATTCTGATCAAAACCAATGAACAGTCACACACACACACACACAAGAGAGAGATTGTTGTAACAGAATTTCTGTATAATTCCAAATGTTAGTTACAACACTGCTCTAGCAGTGTATTTATAGAGAATCCTTATGCAGTCTAAACTTTAGTTTAGCTGCTCTACTTATCTCTATTTACTTGAACTTAACTAGTGTTACTCTAATAAACTCATTTTTACAAATGGCTGATTAACAGTAATACACATGTTTGAGTACTTTAGTTTGTTATGATAATAAGGTGCCCTTTGATCAAGCTGGTAGATGCAAGCTATTGGAAAGGAAAAAGATTTAATTTTTCCTGTTGTTGTCACATACTTACTTTTGAGACATATTATTTAGAATAAGTATTCAGAAAGAAAATGACATGATATTTATATAGAGAAGCATCACATCCATTCCAGTAATATCAAAGGAGAAGGAGGTAAGTTCTAACCTCCCATTCTTGTGAGGAACGACCGCAGCATGTTGGCGTGAGACAGACTGATGATCAAGCACAAAATCACAAGTCTGGATTTGCCTCCCAAAGATATGCCTCCGTCTATCCAAATTAATCTGATCTAGCACCTGACCATCCTTCATAACTTCCAAGTAAAAAACACCCGGCCTCGGCTCAATCGCCCAATCCGGCGGCTGCCACGTTGACTGCCCTCCTCCAATCTGAGTTGCGTGTTGATTCTGTCCCAACAACGGGGCAGCCTCAACTCCCACAGCTTTGTGAGAAGCATGTTGCTGTTGTTGTTGATGATGGGATTGTTGTACATAATTCCGAGACTGTGAAGGCCAAGCAGCTACTTTATTAGAGGACTGAGCAGCATTTCTCGAAGACGAATTGATAGCAACAGAAAACGGTTCCAAACTCTCGGCTTTCTTAAACCTATCAAGACCCGACGTTCTTCCATACATTCTCTTTAACTAGAAACTATTAAACGAGCTCCCTTAACTACGAGCTCATAAACAAGTTGCATCACAATGCCGCAATGACACCAAATCTTAAGAACATGCTATTAACCTCTCTTTGCACAAACCCTAAAAATAATTCGGGGGAAAAAATCAAAGAATTCAGGTAAGTGACATTAACACATTAACATATCACAATATAGAAATTAGCTCAAAAGAAAGAAAATAAACAATACTAGTACATGATTATTGTATGAGAAATGGTTAACCAGAAATGAAAACACGTGATTCATACTATCTTATAGTAGGAAGATATTATTAATCTATTATAAAACTGGGATAATCTAACACATGATAAAGCTATAATCGATGGGATTGAAATGAAAATTGCAAGTTAAAATTTCAGGTTAGAATTGAAATACCGAAAAAAAATTATTTTTTGTTGTTTATGAAATTGATTATTGAAAGGGGAGTTAGGGAATCGTACCAGTTAGGGTTTTAGAACGCTGCGTCTTAGACAAGCGATGGTGAGAGAAAGAGGTGACAGAAATTTCTAAATTCAATTTCTTTGTAAATACTTATGTTTTTGTTTTTTTTTGTTTTTGCTTTTTATTTTTTTGTTTTTGTTTTTAAAGAAAATGGGATACAGTGTTAAACAATTTGTATGGGCTTGGCCTAAAATATCAGAATTGGCCCATATCTAATTTAGCTCGGGGTTTCTCTTTCCACCATTAGTGTTGAAGAGTCACCCTAATAAAATTTGAAAATGTCTTTCTACAATTTTGAAAGTATACTTTTGAACGCACAGATTAAACATTAAAACACATTTTAAGTGAGATTTTCCATTTTCTCAAAAACGAGTTTGTAAGTGTATCTTCGAACTTACTCCTACAATGATTTTGTTACATTGACTAATTTGGAAGTGCAGTTTCGATTTGTCAAGCGGAAATTTGAAAAAAGCACAACTTTTCATATAATTTATAACTCAATGAATAATTTGGAAGTACATTTTTGGATTTGTCAAGTGTGAAATTTAATAAAATACCACCTTGCATGTATGCTTCACTCATGATCATACCACTATTTCTTATTAAAACCCTACCAAAACCTCCTTCCAAAATTGAATAATACATGGACACTTAATGTGATTTGTGGTATACATAATCATTACATATGTTACAAGTTATCTGATCATCTCATTGCACGTCGCTTTAATCATGAAGAGAAGAAACGTGTTTCTAAATTAAAAATGGTGCATCCCAAAAACTTACTTCCAACTTTGAAATGGAAAAGGCCTTTAAATGTATCAAATATCAAGCAAGTTTATAATGTTTGTGCCTGAAACAACAAGGCGATAAGATGTTCAAAAACTGAAATGCAACTAGTATTGAAGCTTTTGGATGATAACCATTTGTATTTAGGTAGAGAGTGTGTGCGGATGGAGAAATCGTTCAAGATATATTTTGGACTCATTCTGATTCCATTAAGATATTCAACACATTTTCCATTATGTTCATTATTGATTCAACATATAAGACCAATAAGTACGAGCTTCCACTTCTGAAAATTGTTGGTGTTACTTCTAAGGAGATGACTTTTTCAATTGGGTTTGTATTTTTGGAAAGTGAAAAGGAGGACAATGTTACTTAGGCTTTATAAATGTCATGGACTATATTGAAAGACCAAGAAAACATGCCAAGTATCAGTCAGTGATCATGATATTGCACTAATGAACTCAGTTGTAAATGTGTTTCATGCACATATGCATTCTTTTGTAGGTATCATATGACAAAAAAATATGAGAAGTAGACTTAAGCCTACGGTAAGGACTAAGCAAATCAAGGGTGTAGATGAGAAAATGGTCAAAGCTGGTGTGATAATGGAAAGTATAATGGATGTCTGGAATGTTATAATAAATTCTTCTACAGAAGAGTTATATGTCGAATTTGTAATACATTTCAAGATGACATGGGAGAAATATTTAGATTTCTTGAAATAACCTTGCATGCGTATTTTTTATTTTTCCTTACAATGGGGAAAACACAGTTTGAGATTTCAATCTCTGAACTAATCTCGTGACAAGGTTCTACATCTTTAGACAGTAAGTTAGAAGAATTTTGATATTTTTAAATAAACCTTACATTATAAGTAATTCATAAATCATTCAATAATAAACCGTACACATTTGTCATTCAATAATGAGATTAAAATATAAGAACTACTGTGTATATCATAATGCAAAGATGTTAAAATGTTAAAATGTAAAATACAAAATTTTAAAATGTCATAACCAATCGCATAACGAACTGTAATAACCGGCTGAAAATTATATAGTCGTCACCATTAATTTTTATTCTAAGACGGGAATATAACGGAATAACTCTAATTGATGATATGGAGATTCTAAGTTCTTGACTCGCTTTAGACGAAGGGAGGGTGTTAGGCATCTTTCATCTACCTTGTTCACAAGGATACTAGGGTTTAGGTTAAAGGTTTAGGAATAAGGTTTTAATTTTAATTATGGGAACTCGCCACAGTTTTTAAGTCGTATGCCTACGTATCCTCTTATGAGGAATCAAAGTCTCAATTCGTAGTTCGAAGTTGTTTGGTTAGTTTTTTTTTATGGAATATAGAAATATCTTGAATTCTCCTTTAACCAAGTCTGAGTTTGTAAATTGCGGAATTATAGACGAAACTCGCAGTCGATAAAAGAAATTCCCATAATCCTTTTTAAAAATAAATATATTTGAATTATGTTAGTAAAAAAAGTTAGCATTTAATTGGTTAGATATTTTGGAATAAATGAAGCAATATGAGAGAAAAATATATCTTAATGCATGAGAAAAGAATTTAATGTAATTAAAATATTTTTAAAAAAGGGAGTTAGTATTTTTTTTAAAAAGAGTTTAAATTAATAAATAATAATTTTATAACTTATTAAAAAATATTAAATATTAAAAATATCCAATAATTTATTAATATGCAAAAAAATATAATAAATAAATAAACAAATAAATAAATAATGAAATTATAAAAATAAATTAATTTTATTTAAAAAACGCAGGGAGTGCAAAATTAGTTGGTTAATAAAATGTTGGGAGTGTGAATAGCAGGGCCCTAAATTCAGATATTAGATTTGGCCCAAAATGTAGCGGGTACGGTTCACAGTTGGGTTGCAATCACGGGGGGTTGATTTAGCAATGGGCTTGGCCCAAATATTTGAATGCTGAGACATCGGTTTGGACCGCGTATGAGTATGCGTTGGGAGGTACGGTGGGCGTTCAGCTATGGAGCGTTTGATCAAGATTGTGTGGTAATGATTGAAGGTGCACGATAGGGGTACAGGGGATCACGTGACCAAATGTTGGCCACGTGTCCTAGTGGATTACAAGACAGGAGGAGTATATCATTTCATTTTCTTAACATTTTCATTCATTTTCAACACTCTTTTTCTCTCTCTCTCTCATTACCCTTTGTTCTCTCTTCTCTCGTTCTCTCTCCAACAACCAACAACAGTCATACCCCCTCCAAACCCTAATCAAAATTGGCGGTGGCGCTAACCCTCTTTGGCCCCAAATCAAACCCTCATCCCCCTCATATCAACACAGCAACATCAATGGTTACAAGATTAAAAATCTAAGCATAGTGTTTACCTCTATCCTCCGTAGATCTTCAAGCTCAGTTTGTTTTGCGCCTCCACTGATCTACTCCCTTTGTTTGTTTTACAGGCACTAGAAGATGATGACGAAAGCGGTGCGACGGCGATTTGAAGGAAGATCTTAGGGTTTCTGTTCAGAAACCCTGGATCTATGCAAAGGGGAAGCCCCAAGGGGATCGCTTCTTCGTCTCATATTCTTCTTCTGTTTCTGTTTACAATTTCTTCCTCCTCCTCTTCTTAGAAATTTTTGGGTTATTTATAGTTTTAGAATTAGATTTAAATTAGGAATATTGTATATAATTTCCGTTAGAAATCGTGATTGAGATTTGATTTGATTTGATTTGTAATTTCCGTTAGAAATCGTGATTATTGTAAATTAGGTTAGATTTAAATTAGGAATCTTGTACATGATTTTCGTTAGAAATCGTGATTGTTGTAAATTAGGTTAGATTTGATTTGTATTTTTATTTGATTTGATTCTGTTTGTAAATTTCCCAGATTTTGATTGAGATTTGGATTTGTTGTAAATTAGTTTCTGTAATTGTCTTTGTTACATACTAGATTTGATTATGTAAGCGTTTCTTTTTTTATTTTTGGGCTTGGGTCTTATGGTTGAAGATGAAGAACGAAACGCGCTGCTTTGAACTAGGGTTTCAAAACCTCTCGATTGACCTGGTCAACCAAACTCACAATAAAAATATAATTTAAAATTTTGATAATAAAAATAACAATTAATAACAATAATATTAATAATAGTGATAATAGTAATATTGATTAAGAGTTATAATTATAACATTAATGATAGTTAAATTAATAATAATAATAATAATAATAATAATAATAATAATAATAATAATAATAATAATAATAATAATAATAATAATAATAAGTTTTACTAATAACCAGTTAAATAATAATACTATTAATAATAATAATTAATAATAATATAAAAAATGATAATCCTGAGATTAATGTTGACTTTAGTCAACAACTCCTCCAACTGGGCTTGACATTACAATGGGCCAATCTGCGGCAAAAACAAAACATACCTCTTTGTGATTCAAAATAAAAAGCTAATGAGTCATCCAAATTTTCTAACCACGCCCCCTTTCATTATTTGTTCGAAATGAATCGCAAATCCTTAATGGCCTGGATATTTGTACATCAAAGAGTTGATCAATGGGCCTTGAGAACATTGTAATGGGCCATTCAAAATAAAAAGTAGGCCTTTAAGATAAAGTAGACACCCCCCCTTTGTTATATGATCCAAAGATAATATTATAACTGGGCTTTAGCGAAATGTGCATGCTAAGCCCATTATGAATACGCCCTTCATTGAGAATTAAAA